AGAACACGGTGCATGAAAAGAGATGGATCATTGCTTCATGTCAGGATTGCGTTGAACTTTATTAATCAAAACATACATTTTCTATGCATTTTTGAAGTAAGGCATTATAGATGATTATATGTTAATTATAAAAATGATGTACATATTTTAAGTAAAAATAGGCAATAGTGTATATTTTTGAAAGGTCTCAGACCACTCTAGCTTGACTGTCTAAACCAGATCAAAAACGAAGCATAATCTTTTGCTTTCATGTCTTTATCACAACAGCACGTGTGCCTGTGTGGAATACTATGGGAAGGCTTTGGAATCCTTAATTAAACAAGTGAAAATAATGAGCATTCATGGAAAAATGAAACACAAGCGTAACAAGATTTTTACTGAGTTTCGGAAGCTCCCAGGGTAAGAATATATGAATAGGCTAAGTCAGCCAAAAGCAAAAATAGTAAGGGATATGTAGTTTTGTCTGACAATATTATTCTGCCACTTAAGTGCGGAAGAGTGGCGTTGCGAGAGAAGGATGCTACTAGCTGCTTCTGAGTGTATTTATAATAACACAAACTATCCTTAGGTACTCAAAGTATGATCACAAACAAAGTGAAAATGCGACTGGAGCATGTCCAGCCTAATCTAGATAATCCGTGTGGCAGCGTGGAAGGTGCAGGGACATGGATTTAGGATATCCTGCAGCCTGGGACCCTCTAAAGTTTGTGGTGCTTGCTGGCCAAACATACGCACTTTGAAGCCCATCATTACTGCTGCTATCTGTGCTACTATTTTAACTGGACACCCTGTACTGTCAGCTGCTACAATCACACGTTAGCCTTGCTGTATAAACGTACCATCAGTAGGGAACTGGTAGTGAAAGTAACTTTTTCCTGATTGGTAACCAGAGTGGAAACCCAGGATACTATTTTATTAGTATATGAACAAGAATATGGCAGCATGATGCTGTAATTTACCTGCAGAAAAGTATTCTTTGACAACTTTGCAGGATGTTGTTATGAGACTTTTGCCTCGTTAGCTGTCATTTTTTATTGCATGGGACCTGAGTTTTAGCATTTTATATTATAAGAAAAATAATTACCAGCAGACTGGAAGAACAACTGTTTAAAATAGCATGCTGAAATTGTCAGTCTCTTAAGTCTTTTATTAAAATGTTTATAGTATTATGTTCAGCCGTGGTGGATGCAATGGTGATTTAAAAATAGAACTTGTAATAGGGAATTAATTTTTTTCTTAGTGATATGTTGGCTGTAATATAAATCCCATTCCTTTTCATAACGTTATGTAGAATTTTTGTTGGTGGAAGCTGCAACGACCTTATAATATTTGGTCTCTTTTCAGAAAACAAATGTTTTAAAACGTTTTGTTCCTTGTTCTCCAATGTAGATGCAGAATACACAGCTGGGGGGGAGACTGGCTCTTCTCAAATGACAGTCTAATGAAAATACGCTTTTTCTTCTTCGTAGTGGCATTTTAGTTTGCACTGATGTGATGGCTCGTGGCATAGACATTCCAGAAGTACACTGGGTTTTACAGTATGACCCACCTAGCAGTGCAAGGTACAACTTCGGATCTTAAGAACATTTACTCTACTTGTGGTCATGTTACTGTACTGTTCAGATATAAATTGGGAACACACAACTGCGGAAAACACGTTTAATTGTTGCCTGGAAGTTAGTCTGAGTGAACACACAAAATAATGCTTGAACAAGGAAGGTTGAAACACTGCAATTTTTGTTGTAACTGCTGTGAATTGAAATGACTTTGTGTTGTATGCGCGTAAGTCAAATGGGTGCTCGCCACTTATATTTGTGTGAAGAGGCACTCTGGTGTAAGTTTATGTATGAGAATATCAAATGATGAGAGGTGAGACGCTAGGGTGAATGAGAACAGAGATGAGAGCAGGGACAGAGCTCTTCAGGGAACGGTACGCTGAAAGCTCACACGAAAGGCACTTTTCCATGTATTTTAACTTCCATTGTTGTAATTCTCCCTACAACTTGCTTAAACTTCACCCCCAAACCAGATACCCCTTGTTTTAGCATAGTCCTAACAATTGAGTGGGACTGCTGCATGTCTCTTGAATTGCATTTTACTAATTCCTGTTGGTTTAGTTCAAAAGTATATAGCACTCTGTATTTTCCATTCCACAAGATTTGCCCTTTTGCTGTCTGTCTAGTACTTTAAAATCAGACTGGGCATCTCCTGTTAAGTTAGTGCTGTGTTGTGTTGTTTCAGTGCCTTTGTGCATCGGTGTGGTCGAACAGCACGGATCGGCAATGTAGGCAGTGCACTTGTATTTTTGCTTCCCATGGAAGAATCTTACATTAACTTTCTCTCAATCAACCAAAAGGTTAGTAGACTTTCATGCTACCCCAAAGCAGGAAAGAGCAAGGGGACAGGCTTCCTGATAGAGTTGTAAAATCGGAATTTGTAGAACTTAAGGTAATATGCATAGGTAATGTTTTAGCAGAGGTGCACAATTAAAAAAAGACGAGCTGCTTATTAATCACCAAATGCAACTATCTGTTAGAACACAGTTGCTCCCAGTGTTATCTACTGAGTTTGTATGTAGAAATATGTGATGCACTGAGTAAGGAAAGGCATTTCATTTCTAAGGCTGTGTAGATTGAGCATTTCCCAAAGGGCAGCGCTGGCTTACACTCCTACCCCCAGCCCTGCCACCACCATTTATAGTCTGCATCCTCTGTGCTGTTTATTTTTAACTCTGATCATCTCCCGTGCCTGGTCCTGTGTTTGTGAGATTAATTGTATAAATTCTCTAGAGGCCTGCTAATGAGAATGTAGCTTCGTAAGGCATGAGATGATGTTGCCTCTCTCAAGCTGCAGTGTGCGAACTCTTCTGCTGGGCTAGGGCAGCTGTGTGGGCGGCTGAACGGTGAACTAGCGCGTTGAAATTACCAAGTAGAAGGGGGAAAGGGGCTTAAAGCTGACCGAAGATTAACTGGGGAAGAAGTGCATGTTTGAAGTTTCACAGTGCATTTTAAATCATTCGGCTGAACTTTTCCTTTGGTTTGGTATTTCTTTTCTGGTTTTCAGTGCCCCATGCAGGAAATGAAACCACAGACAAACGTGTTAGATCTTCTCCCAAAACTGAAGTCTATGGCCCTAGCTGACAGGGCAGTGTTTGAGAAGGGGATGAAAGCATTTGTGTCTTACGTCCAGGCTTATGCCAAACATGAATGTAACCTGATCTTCCGAATAAAAGGTAATTTCCAGCAGGGGTTGGTATCTTTTACTGTTCCTTTCAGAAGACAGTATTTGGTTTGGCAAAAAACATAGTGTGATTGTCCACAAGCTTCAACTACTGATTCCTGTTCTTAAAGTTACTTTCTGCTGCATCAGATTCTGACAAAACTCCTATTTTTTCAATCAACTTGTTTCTCATAATTTTCAAGAGAAAACATTTAATTAGTAAGTTTCACCAAAACTGACATAAGCATAAATAAAAATGACATAGTATTGTTATTAGTATTACGTATAGGATGAAAACAATACAGTAAGGTAATGTTCTTCTCTGTGCCTTGCTAAGTTAAATTAACTTTTTATCCAGCAGGAAACTGACTTTGTAATCTTTATTTTAACAGATCTGGATTTTGCTAGCCTTGCCAAAGGTTTTGCATTGTTAAAAATGCCAAAGATGCCTGAACTAAGAGGAAAATGTTTTCCAGACTTTACTCCAGTCACTGTTAATACAGACTCCATTTCATTTAAGGATAAAAATAGAGAAAAACAGAGACAAAAGCAATTAGAACAACAAAGAAAAGAAAGACAGGAAAATGGAGGGAAAAAGAAATTCATAAAGAACAAAGCCTGGTCAAAGCAGAAAGCCAAGAGGGAGAAGAAAAAGAAAGTAACAGCTAAAAGGAAGCGTGAAGAGGTAAACTGTGCCCATTCTATTAAACTGCATGTGATTATTGTAGCATAGGTACATACTTTCAAATGGCAGAGAGCCATGGGATTTTAGTTTGATGGAATTGACTGTAAATTAACTTTTTAGGACCTTGACAGGCGAAGCTTAAAAAATTATAGAGAAGCTTTTTAAAGCCAAACACTAAAACAACTTCTCAGCACTGTGATGCTAGTCAATACTGCTGCCAGCATAGGCAGCATAGATTTTTATTTCTCAGAGGTGCAGCAGTATGGCATGATGTACTTTTTTTTTTTTTTCCCTCTTTGCTTTTTTCAGTTGTCAACAAGTGTAACTGAGAGTTAGATAGTTTCCTAGGTAGAAATTGAGTATTATTTCCTGCTTGGAAACTCCTGGCAAAATCTGAGTTGTAAGCTTCTCTTGTGTTCAGCTGTATAGAATGAAAGCCTTTTGGTGTTGTGTCTAAATTGTTATTTTTCAACTGTCAACAGGGCTCTGATATTGAAGATGAGGATATGGAAGAGTTGCTGAATGACACAAGACTCTTGAAAAGATTAAAAAAAGGAAAAATTAGTGAAGAAGAGTTTGAGAAGAGACTAACAGGCAGCCAGAGTAGACTCAAAGCTGAAACTGTTGCTGACTTAGAGTCTGAAGGTTGACAGTTACTCTAACCACACTTTCACATTGAAATACCACCTATTTCAATAAAACTGTATTTTTATAACAAAATAATGATGCAGAGAACAGAATCGACCTAATTTCTTCATAAAGAGACCTCGCATGCATAAGGATATACAAACAAGCCTTCAGTTAAGAACAAAGCTAACAGCACTGTTCTTGTATGGTGCAGATTTCCATAAGCAGCCTCGTGCATTTTTTCATTTTGTTTTTTTCAGATATGTACCACAGGTCAGTAACTAACGGCATACCTCAAAATGAATTTGAATACACCGTAAGGTATTTTATTTTACAGTATCAAAATACTCCACCCATCTTTAAAATAATTTATTTTAGGTCTTTAGAAGCTGTAGTAACTTTTGGATTTTTTTTTTAGCAGTGGTCCATCCACACATAATGTTCTGCTTTAAAAAACTCAGGAAGGCTGATAATTACATTAATCCTTATAACGTCGTCTCCTTACCACGTCCATATAGCTTGTATCATCTTCCAAGTTCTTACAACTGTCATAGTCATGGAAGAAGATGATACATCCTGTACACCGAGTCCTCTGTTACAGATAGAGTTTAATAAGTTCATCACTGACAGCTGATGGAGTCAACACACCGAGGTCTGTAAACAGTAACGTAATTAGTGATGGTGATGTGTAGTCAATCCAGGGATGCTCCTCTGTTAGATTCTGACTTGTTTTCAGAGTGTCTGCTTTGTACTAGAAGGAAGCGGAGACCATTAGTTATTACACAACTGCAATTTAAAACCTCTTTTGGGCAAGAGCAGTACTATAGTCTCAAAAAGATGTTTGTGGTAAAACTGAAGGAAGTCAGTTGCTTTAAAATGAGGCATCGGCTGGTGCCACCTTGGTGTCAGCTATTTTATCTTCGGTATAAAGTACAATTTGTACTTCTGAACTGTACTGATTTAACTGTTTCTTGCCCTCAGCTGCTCCTGTGCCCCAAAGGAACCACTTTAGGAACTAAATGTTAGTATTATTACAAATTATGGCTGTTTGACATGTGACTGTAACATGGAGCAACTCCGTATTATGTAAAGTAAACTAGAGTAGAGAGATCCAGATAAATGGAGATATGCTTAGACGAAAATTATTCATAGACATGTAAGTGTTCATCTTAGCTGTCTAAGGAGTAATTTGAATTTCTCTTACCTTAAACTTATCTGGGACGTCCTGCTGATTTAGAGGGAAAAGTCTTACAAACTTGAAACTTTCTGCTACCACATAAAATGGCTTATTCTGAGCTTTGGCACACACAGCAATTTGATTAGTGCCAATCTGTGGAGACAGATAGAAAACAACATGCAGACTCAGTGCTAGTGTGACATGTTTCCAATAATAAATAGACTTTTACCGGATAACATCCTAATTAAAAGATTTTTCAGAAAGCCTTGAATTTTTCAAAGAAATCAAACTTTAAAAGTCTAGAATTTACAGAATGAGGTAATAAACTCACTACCTATTACCTTGTTAATAATGCCTCCGCTTTCAACTACACCTTCAGCACCAACTAACACCAGGTCCACTTTCTCCATAATGTAGCTGTTCAAAGGGGGAAAAAAATCCAAGTCTTACTGGGTAATATGACAAATGACTTGCTGAACAGAACAGAAATGAGTAATTCAAACTGTCTTTCACTTTTCTGAACTAGTTTCATCTCCCTATGTAAGTCCACATGCTATTACACATCCTTGGTGTGAGTTTTCATCTGCTTCCCTGGCAGGAATATTAAGTAACTGTATCTTCTCCAGCCACACCTGACCTTGGCAATTGTGTAAATGCTGGAAGTTGAAATCTGACTAGGAATGATACTCAGTTACAGGAACACGGGTGTCTGTGATAAGATACTATCTACACAGTGAAGTGTAACTGCACCGTGATAACCTTGGCCAAATACATAGGATGCTCCTCATACAATCCCCCTTTCTTTACATCCCTCCAATGCGTTTTGTTAATTGAAAATACAGATCTAAAAAGAAAACCATCAACTAAGTGGTTTGAATAGACTTAAGGTGTTAAACAGAACTTGTAGACTTGTCCACTCAAGCCACCATCTTCCCTAGGTTAGAGGTGCCTTGGTAAGCAGACTGGCACATACTCTCTTGGAGGCAGTCTCTCGGGCATTTTGCACTTATGCAAGAATTGAGGTTCAGGTTTATTATAGTTCTTTCTTTTCTCGTGTTTTGGACTTATACTAAGCAGTGGTAATTTAGCAAATAACTTCAGAAACCCCAAAATGACAACATGTATGCAAATTAGTAAAAAAATGTAGCGTTTTTGCATAGCGTCTCAGGTTTTTGGGTTTTTTTTGCAGGTATCCCCAAGTTCTTCACTTAGGTCTGATTCCATTTTTCTTTCTAACATGCAAACATCAAATATTTGTTTTGTAGCACGCGTATTCTCCTAATTGTGCACCTAAAGGTGTGACTTGTTTAGCTTGTTTGATGACTATGACAAACTAAGTAACAACTTCTGTAGTTTGAACAAGCTTCTAGGAAACTTACATATAACATTATCAAAATAAAATGGTGATGAACAATATTAAGATTTAATGATCAGACTTACCCAACTGCAGCATCCAGAATCACAGTCACAGGAATGTTCAGCTTCCTCAAGGCTTTTGCCATTTTTTGCCTATTAAAAAAACATATTTGAAGTTTAAAAGTCTTTTCTTTAAAGACAATGCTAGAAAAATATTGTCTGAAAGACTGAAACCCATGACTGCCCACGTTCCTTTGCCTGTAGTTTTGGTTTCCTTTGCCTGTAGTTTTGGTTTATGATGTACCCTCTAATAGAAAATAAGTTCTTGTGTAGAAATGGAAACAAACAGATTACAACAAACCCAACAAAAGTAAAGTCAGTTTGTTTTAGCAGTCAGGAACTATAGCTACAGAAAGATGAGTCAGTGAGCTATTATTAAAATGAGAGAATACCTAAGCTGTCTCAGCTTTTCCATCAGCAGGGTGTAAGGAATAAGAAATAAAGGATGGGGTGCATTGCTAGAAGTTATTTCAGTGAAGCTGGAAAATGGTATGTACTTAACATCCTTGATTCTAGTGAAAGACTGGTTAGCAACACGTAGTATCCAGTATGTAGGATTTATTACTTCACTTACACAACAGTGTATGCTCTGAAGAGGGAAAGCTCGCTCTCTTGCTATAATAATACAGTTTATTTGGCATCTTCAATGTTGTTAGCTAAATGTTTTACTTTGCTATGCTTAATATAATACTGATTATTTTAGCCTACTTTTGAAACAGACAACTAGAAATCAATTGTCTCCCATTTCCCCAGGAAAATGTAGGTTGCCTAGCAATGACGGAAAGTTTGTAAACCTTTGAGGAAAACCTAGGTAACACTGTTATTAGAATATTTAGTATGGGAAATTACTTGCTAATATCGTTTTTTTTTTTTACTTGTCCAGAATAACGTGATATTATTAGTGACGGTTACCATTTAAAATGCTGCAAACAAGTCTAGCAGCTTTTCTTAAGGTATGACAGATTTGATGCTAGCTGTAACTTACCCTGTTAACCAAGATAAAACACAAATTAATGAGTACTTGCCCTGCTTGATCTGGCTGTGATTCAGTAACGTAAACACTGAATCGCTTCTTTGACTCAACAGCTGCTTCTAACACTCTGAGGACCACTCTTGAGTAGGCATGTGTCAATATTCGCTGTCAAAAAAAATAATCAGACATTACTTTTTGCTGAGCTTTGGGAAACCTTTACTTTTGTTAAAGGTGTCACGGCTTTTACTTCATACAACTGTCCATCGATGTTAAATAATAATGTATGTCACTTCTATTCCACAAATCATAGGATAACTGGAATTTATGTGGCCCACCGTGATGTGGCCGAGGGGTGATGATCTAGAACTTTAAATGGAAACTTGAAGTTGTGACTCCTCAACACCTCTTAGAAGTAGACCACAAGTTGGATTACATGGAAACTGAAGGGGGGGGGGAAGATGAGTCATAACAAAATAAAGCGATGGGTGATAGTACGCCTATGTACTTGCAGAAGCCCCCATCAGACAACGCTGTCGTGAATGTTAATAAACTTCACTCCCCTCCCCTTCTGTTTTTCCATTACTGCAAGCAGCAGAGCAACAGAACAAGAGTGACACTGCCTCGGCCTACTTACAGCACCATCTCTGATGAAAGGATGACACAACTTGGCGATTTTGTTCCTCGAGAGAGAGACTTTCCTCAGGAAGATCTCCCCGCGCTCGATCATGATTTCCTTGCACTTGGAGTAGTCCTGGAAAACGCAGCGATGTCGGCTGTGAGGCCGGAG